AGATCAGCGCATCAAGTATTTTTTTGTCCTCGTTGTTTGCTCAGTTTGCTTTGCTGGACTTGTTTTGAACCTCTAGTCACTTTTTCGCCAACTTTTTTATTCTTACGTGCACGAATTTTCCTACAAAATACAGAAGATATAGAAAAACTAATGATCTGATTGTTGTTCTATTGTTATTCGGTGACTGGCTTTTCCTTCCGTTTACTGGGGTCCTATTAAATTTATTCATGGAGTTGATCACGAAGTCTGTAAGTGTAAACTCTGAGGAATAGACGCATGGTTGTAAAAGATCAGAGGTAGGAAGGGTGAATTTTTACTAATTGACCATAGTTGATTCTACAGATCAATGATTTTATAGCGATAGATGAATTTAATTGAATTATCAAATAGTTTCGACTCAACTTCTATTGTACCATAGACATATTTGTCTCATATATGTGGTTGTCGAGTGTTATATGTTCTTAGCTTCCTTATCTGGTTTCAGATAGCTTTGTGAGGATATTCTGGGTAAACTTATGGTTGTCTCCATATGTGTTGGGAAGTTATTCTCGAGGACCTGCGCCTTCAATGGAGCAGGTTGAGAAGTTTTGCAGCTTTGTGTCAAATTCAAAGTAAAAAACCCAATATCTTTCATAGTAGGGAAGGAGTTTGGAGGACTTCTGCTATGGTTTCTAGATGGAGGCAGTACATGGAATTCGAATATGCATCCAATATTATCATCAGTGCAAAAATCAAATCATAAATCCGACGTATAAAAGACCATTCGATTCCGAGAGATGCCTAAAAAATAAGAGATAGCAAAGAAAATAACATGAAAACGTCTACCTAAGAAATGCATGAGCAAATACTCGTCTCTACCCCTTCTCTTTGTGCCATCTCATATCTGCGGGGGTTTTTTTTCAACATGTACAATCTCTTCAACCTCGGTGTCAAAGGAAAGTACCTCAATATTTGGTGAGGAATCTTTTTACCACTCACATTGTTGAACTTGTATCTAGACTCCTTACATGTAGAGCAGTTATCCAGTTTTGCGTTGTCCTTCCAAAACAAAATACAATCATTCTTGCATGCATGAATGGCCTTATATCCCAAACCCAATTCATGTAAGAAATTTTCCAATTCATGAAGGGTCCATGGAACAGTTTCATTGCACTTTGGGAGAATGTCTTTGAAAACTTACATAACCATATCGAAAGATTTGTTGCTCCATTTATTGTACACCTTAATATGAAGCATCTTAATAACGAAGGACAATAGGGAAAACTTTTCACACTCCGGGTACACTTTGCGTAGAGCATCATCAAACAACCTAATGAACTTTACTGAATTTTCTCTCTCCGAGCTATTAGGTTCTTCGTCGATATGATCATCCATGAGGCCACTCATGTAAATCTCTTCCAACATAGTAGGCAACTCGCCTAAATTATCGTCAATGTCAAAAATTGCAACTCCATCGCTTTCACCAACATCGTTTGACACACTAGGCTAATCATGACGCAATGGAACATGTTCCCCGTGGTGCACCCAAGTTCTATAAGAACACGCGATTCCTCTTTGAATCAAGTGCAGCCATACAACTTGTCGACTATGTTTTGTGCCATTCAAGCAATCAACACATAGACAACGAATGTCATCGTGTGGGCCTAAATCCTTCGTAGCAAAGTCAATAAATGGCTTAACACCTTGTTGGTACTCTTTACTTTTCAACCTATCAGTTATCATCATCCAACTCTTGTCAATCTTTTGAACCCTACAAGTCAAGCAAAGATTAACTAGGACTTTTGAGGATGGCCATAAAATATGACAATTTGGGTGAAGTAAGATTAAAAATAAAATACACTGATGGTTTATATTAAAAAAAAATCAAACTTTTAAATTGACAAAATCAAAATTTTAAAATTTATTTTGTTACAAAAATCAAAATTTGGATTTATTTATTTATTTATAATTTCCCATAATAAGAATTTTACTTGAATAATTTTAAGTTGAAGTGGGGGATGGGAGGAGAATCAGATTTTGGACTGATTTGTGGTGGCAGCCTGTCTGCTTGAAGGATGAATTTCCAACCTTGTTTAGGTTGGCTGTGGTTAAAAATGAATCCTTAAGAAGTGTGGTTGATAAGAGAAGTGTAGTGGGTGGCTGGGTCTTTGAGTTCAGAAGAGGGCTATATGAGTGGGAAGAGCATGAGTTGACAAGGCTTTTTGAATATCTGAGGGGGGCTCCTGTTCAGTGCTCAGAGGGTGTTGATAGGCCTTCATGGTTAGGATCATCTGTTGGGATATTCACAGTGGCTGATCTGTACAGGAGGGGTGGGGTAAATATGGGTGCCAGGCTGAGCATTACCAAAATGATTTGGCTTAACTATATCCCTCCTAAGGTGCAGGTCTTTGGTTGGTTTGCATGGAAGAAAAGACTTAAGTCTAAGGAATTTTTGCAAAAACTGGGGGTGATCACCTCTAGTGATTCTATTGCTTGTGTGTTTTGTGGCAGTGACACAGAATCAGTGACTCATGTCTTAGTCTGGTGTCCTTTTGTGTGGAGGGTTTGGTCTGACATGTTGGTATGGTGGGGTATCCAAGCTGCTATTCCAGGATCGGTGGAAAGTTTATTGCTGTGGTGGGCAGGGGAGAAGCTAAAGAGGAAGGAGAGGAAGATCTGGAGGGTGATTCCATTGTCAGTGATGTGGTCTGTGTGGAAGTGCAGGAATGAGTGTGTATTTAGAAAATCTATCCCAAATCTGGAGGACCTTTGTGATTTAATTAAATATAGGGTTGCATTTTGGTTGAAGCTAGTTTTCAGTGAGTTTAATTTCTCAGTCCAGGATTTTGTGTTTAATCTGAGGTAGGTGAGGGAGTGCTTGGGTGGGTGTGCTGGTATGGTGTTCTGAGCTGTGATGTGCTGGCAGATATCTGGTAGGGTAGGCTGTTTGAGGTATGGTGGACTGGTCTTTGTTGGTTGGGTGTAAGCTGTGTTGCTGGGTGTAAGCAATACATCGGGTTGGCTGATGTGGGGTAGTGTTATGCTCAGTTTTTGGGCTGATAAGTTGCACTGAACAGGTGTGTAGGGGTAATGTGGGAGGTCTCTAGTTTGATGTGGAAGTCTGTACAAAGGAGCTTGATGAAGTTGTTCTTACTGGTTTGTGTGGACTTAATTGTTCCAATTGGGGTTGCTGATTTGTGGTGCTGATATGTGGTGCTATCAGTTGGGGTAGCTGATTTGTGGTGCTATAGTGCTGATCTGTTATGTTGCTTGGGTCCATGTGGCTGTGTTGCTGTCTCTCGGGTCCAGCAGTTGAGTGGTAGTCTGCTGCTGTCTCTTGGGTCCATGTGGCTGTGTACCTGTCCGCTGCTGTGCGGGAACTCTACCTTAAATCGCTCCCTCCACTGTGTGGGAAGACCTCTGTTTTTGGCTGATTTTGCTGCAGCCATTCAACCTCTGGGAGTTGGCAATGACATCAATACATACATCACACACTCACTTCAAAACCAATATATATACCAATAATAATTTTACCACTAAAAAAAAAGGCCACTAATAGCATTAATATATTGAGAATGTCAAAAAAAAAAAAAAAAAGAAAGAAAGAAAAAAAGAAAGAAAAATGCTAGGACTTCTTTTAGGTCTTAAAAAGGCTATCAAAAAATTCAAAAAAATCGAAATATATATCAAATGACCTAACTTTCTTGAGTATTAGCTTATTTGTGAACTTTTTAAGCCAATAAAACTTATAAACTAGTATCAAAGAAATAGCCTAAGATGGAGAATATTTCTTGAAATTCCCATCTTCAATTATCCTAGAAGCAAAGTTAACCGTGCAACTCACATCAGCTCAAAAGGTTGGGAAATTAAATAAATATACGGTTTCAATCATAAAACATGGAAGAAAAACAAAATAAACAAGATGTTGTTAAACTCTTATATATTAAAATCCTAATCGAAAAGTAATATGGGTTGAGTCTTTAACCCCTTCGTTTCTATGAAAGCCCCCTTATAGTAAATCTAAGTGTACAATAAAAATATAAAATATCTCACAACAAAACCATGGCTTAAGATTTCATCAACAATAGGAGTATAGTACCTTACTCTATTTTCTGTCCCTCTATGAAGTTAATAGAATGAGTGTTGTTATGCAAAACCGTATGAATTTCATTGATTTTTTTCACTGTTTGCATGTAAGAGGTGAAAAAATTGGTGGTAAAATTTATTGTGACATGAACTCCTTTCTAGAATTTAAGCCATGTTAGAGTGAACAAAGTACTCATTAATGCATGGAAAGCCATATTAAAAACATAAAGTAAGTTATTCTCAAGCCAAGTACACATATGGAGGTCTCCAAAACACACAACAGAAGGTAAAAGTACATATATTCAACTAATTTAAATTAACTTTCTTAACTTAAATATCCAAATCATCAACTGCAGTTTCTGTTCTTGATAACTAATCGACAAGTTAATTCCCTTCTGTTCCTGATCACCAAAGACCCTCCTCATGAAGGATTTTCACTGCTCTGCAAATCATCAACAACAAACAAAAAAGCACATCTAGGTATAAAAAGGACTAAACAAACAATTGTAGATGAATTAAAGTTTATTGGATTTCAACTAGGTAAAATTGGTCAAAACTCACAAATTTTTTTTTTTTTTAATCGGCAAAGAAAATCTTTATTAATGGAAGCATGTCAAGAGAAATATAGTACATCAATAAATAGGAGCTTGGAGCTAACTCAAGCTCTAAGCTCCAGTTGGTGAGAAACCAACAGCCAAAACGAGAGAAAACCAACAAATAATGCTATTTTAACAAATAAATTTTACAAATCATTCTTACTAATTGATATGACATGTAATAATAAAACTTCCATATCTAAAACATGACTCACTTCAATAATATGATAGGTGCAGCCACATCAATAAGTAAGAAAATTTTATAAAATTTGTTAGTTTATATGAGTGGGTCAATAAATGTAAGAAAAAGGAGTGGGACCTTCGTCACACATCTGTATCTCATTTTGTAAAATTCTTCTCTACTCCATCACAACTGTTAATGCAAATATCAATGTGATCTTTTAAGGGGTTTTGGAGTGTACCATAGGTTTGTTGTAGGAGATTGGAGTCTTGAAGGTTGGGCTGAGTAGGCTGGAGTTGGTAGGGGTGGTGGTGGTGGTGGTGGTGGAGTTGGAGAGGGACACTTGCAAGTTGAAGAACACTGCTTGGCTGCTCTTCTCCATAGAATGGAAACTGTTCCAACACTTGCTGTTGGTGCTGCTGTCCCACTAGGCTCAGCTCAGTCATTGCCTGTTGATGATGGTTCAATTCCTCTGCCTGTTGCTTCATGTGATTACTCATCAACTACATAGTTATCCCCCAGATGGTTATCATGTTAATTTGTTAGACCTCCACACTATAGCTAATTGAATGAAGCTTTGAAATTTTTGTTTAACAATATATCCCATCTTTGTAATGAAGATAATTAACCATTTATGTGGTGCATTGAAACTTTTACTGTTTGACAAATGCCAAAAAATTAGCATTTTTTTTCAAACTTTTTTCTCTTTAATAATTTTTATTTATTTTTTATTTTTTATCTCAAGGTTTTTTCAAGATTGAGAAACCTTAAAATTTTAAAAATGACCAAATTTGAAAAAAAATTACGAAGGACATAAAAATAAAATTTACTTTTTTGTCAACTTTTTAAATTTGGTCTGTTTTCTTCTTCTTCTTCTTTTTTTTTTCCCTGATACATTTTTAGGTTCTTCTAATAGGAAATAAAAAGTATTTGACAAATTTTTTTTAAAAAAATACTAAAGAAAACAAAAAAGAGAGAGGCAAATAACTAGTTAAAGATTATTTATTGATATCAGAGTTTTATGTTCATTGTCTTGATGATCAAATAAGCATTAGTTCTCATTGCCCACATGCTTATTCAATCACTGCACTCACCCACTGGTACATGTCTTGGTTTTCCTTCTCCAACATTTTTTCCTAAAATGTAAAAAATAAAATAAAAAAATTGTTATTTCGACAATGAAATACATAAATGTATATAAATAGAAGGAGAGACAACGTGAATAATTACCGTCCTCTGTAGGTTGTCCAGTTGTTGCTGCAATAGCTGAAACTGCATACGTATCCGCAAAAACAATACTAACATTATGTAATCAGAAATTCTCCATTCAAACAACTCAAATACAAGCTACATATTTTGGGACAAAGTTATAATTTATTGTCACATATAAATCAGGAAATCATTTTTATGTTTGCATCATTTGTTTTGTGAAAGTAAAGGAATATCCATTGATCACACTATAGAATGTGAATTCAAAATTCTTGAATTATATTTTTCTCAAATCAGGGAAACCCTATGGTGTGCATCCCTTTAATGGTGCATATATCATAAATTGACGTAACTTTATCACAAAATTTTGTAACATCAATCACAAAATGTATAACCTCTTCACAAATTGCCATAACAAAAAATATCGTAATCAAGCCACAAACTTTTGTAACATGAACTACAAAATTTTGGACAATTTATTACACTAATTTGTGACAAGGTTATACATTTTGTGGTTGATATTATGAAATTTTCTGATAAAGTTACACTAATTTATGATAGGGTGCATATCATATGCACCTCTAAGGGGGTGCACACTACTGATTCTTATTGCACATCTTTCTCTCTCTCTAAAAAACCTCCACCTTAGGGCCTCACCACTGGCCAGCCGGCCGCCGCCTTATGGCCATGGCGATTGGCTGGCCTAGCTTTTCCTCGTGTTGTTGTTTTTTCTCCTTATAATCTTGAGCCCCTTTTTGTTTTTCGGTTTTCTTCTTTTCAGATCTAATCTCTAGATTTGATTAGGATGCTGTTCTGTCCTTTCGTTTTTGTTTAGGTGGTCTGTTCTCTCTGGTTTTCTTTGGGGTTTTTTGCTGTGTTTTCCTTGGAAGGTGTTAGATCTATCTCTGCTTCGGCCATGGTGTTCAGATTTGGCCATGGGTTTCGGTTTAGGGTGGCTACGAGCGGGGGTTTGTTGATCTTGGGTGGGTTGGTTCAGGAACTTCATTCGGGCACTTCCACTGCGAGCGGGAGTTTGAGGGGTGGAGGATTCAGAGCTGTTTAGGTTCTTCATTCGAGCGCTCCGTGCGAGTGGGAGTTTGAGGAGTGATTTCTGTTTCAAATCTTTGGTGGTCGATGTTTTTGTTCGGATAAAAGGAGAATGGTGCCAGGTCTACATAGAGGGGACTGCTCAGCGTTTGTTGGTGAGGATCAACCAAGGGAGTTGTTTGGGTGAGTAAACCGTGGGTGAAGTTTAAGATGGTAATCTGGGTTTTCAGGGCAAAACCGTGGTGAGGATTAACAGCACCAGCGGCTCCATTTACAGAGGCAGCGTAGAGGAGGCACCAGCAGCAGGTTCCGGCGGAGGTTGTTGACGAGAGCTAGGATTTTGTTGAGCCAAGGAGGAGTAACCAGCAGGGTTTGCAGTCAGTCATGGGTGGTTCTCGGCAGCAGTAGGTGTGGGGCTCTGTGTTTTAGGTATCAGTGTTTTAGGTGGTCTTCGGTAGTCGGGGCAGGCACGGGTGTTCTTTGTGTTTCAGTGTTGGTGTGGGGCTCAAGAGTTTGAATTTTAGTTTTTTGGTTTGTTTTGTTGTTTTATTTGTCTTTTAAAAAATATATATAAAATTGTGAGGCTGAGGGGTCGGTTGTAAAGACGTGAGTAGCAGTAGTAGGAGAGTGTTTTTACTCTTCAAATCTCTCTCAATACGTTTTTTTTCCTTGTACCTTTTAAATTTCATGTTTTAATGGAATTTTTTCTTTGCCGATCAAAAAAAAAAGAGGGTGCACACTATACCCTCTCCCCTCAAATCATTTCTTCATATTAAGTAAGATTTCAAACTCTAAATAATTTCATGATTGAAAATAATTCTATGCTGATCAAATAAGCATGTTTTAATCACTCCTTTCATTATCCAATTTTTGCTCTTGCTAACTCCTCAACTATTTTTACTTTGAGTTGATGGGGTTGGAAGGCTAAGGGAGTTTTTGTGTGGGTGTGAAGTGGAGTGCTCTCGTATTCTTTTCTTTCACAAGGAGTTATGATTTTTTTTTTTTATTTGTTTGGCATTTTGATTTTTAATTTTTTTTTCATTTCTTTTTAGGGTTCTCTATGGAATAGTTCTAAAATAGTAATATATCATTATTTATTTATTTTTATCAAATCCAACCCCAAGCTAAAATTTGTTTCCTAAATCAATCCAACTCAATAAATTGCCTTAATATTACCATTACCCCCTCAATCAAATTCCTAGCTCTGTCATTGGGTGATTGATTGTAAAGAAAATGCGAGAAAGTAATAAGAGAATGTGTAGCCCTATTGAGGCTTGTATCATGGATGTAGTTTGTAATGTTCAAATCACATTTACCTTAATTTTTCTCTTTCTCTCTCAAATTATCTTCTTCTATTTCAAATTTTATCTAATTATTACAACGGAAATGGAGAAAAATTAAACTTTTTAAGAAAACAAAGGGTAAAAATGAAGAAAAAGAAAACAATACCTTCCGAGCTCGGACCTTGTTAACTGAGGATTCAAGCTGTTGTTCAAGCTCATCCAAATCCTCGTACCGTGCAGAACTCAAGTCCTCACCTTTGTACCGCTGCAAACTCAGTTGAAGATTATGAGTTTCATTCCTGATTCTTGTCAACTCATTGAATATTTGTTCCTGCAACTACTCGTTGATTAAAATTTTAAAAAATAAAAAATTAAATAAAAAAAAGGCAAATCTAAGTTGTTGTTTGGTAATACTTTAGTTTCATATTTTCTTTCTTTCATTCAAATTTTTTTTTTTCAAAAAGTTGTTTCTTTGTTTTTGTTTTTATTTGTTTCAAAATATAGTATAACATCAAACAACACAATATTTTCTATTTTATATTTTACATCAAATCTAAATATGTTTTTTGTTCAAAAAAAAATAAAAAATAAAACTTATTTTCTATTTTATAGGAACAAAATATAGAAACTGACAACGTTATCGTCTAAACTAATATCCAGCCTATAATTTGCATGATACCCGGTCATCGTGCTCTGGTATACGAATCCCTGTAGCATCCAGATATCTTCCTATCATTTCACCCATGCTGTAAAGATTTTGAAAAGAATACAAAAAATAAAATAAATAAATAAAAAAATGAAAGAAAGGAAATGCAACAGTCAATGAGTGTGAATTCATAAGAGGAACATTACAACGCAAATTAACTAGGAGGCAAATCCCAACTAGGTCAGCACACAACAAACAAAATTCTAATCTTTAATTTGCAATAATTGAATTCTAGAACTTCACAATTAGACTTTGTTTGGAGACTAAACATTTTAGTCAAAAAGTTACTTGTCAAATCACTCTATTTATTTTTCTGCATATTTTTTTATATTTTTTCATAAAAAATCAAAAAATTACTAAAACAGTATACTCTCAAACGAGACCTAATCTAATTTCATAACGGAATGTCATCTAAAAACAATGCTTTTCACATTAGGTATTAGAAAGGCATTGGGAGGAATTTAAAAAATCAACAAGGAGGATTTAAATTACATCATAATATTTGTTTGTCTCATTAAAATCATTTGAATAGTAATTGACATATAGTGAAACTAAGATCAAGCTTACACTACAATTAGAATTAGAGGATTAACAAAATTTAGATATAGCTTTGATGTCAATCATTGATAAAATGATATAAATTATATCATTTGAAAAAAATAACTCACAAAGAATTCTTTGAACACAGATTAGCGTCGTGTTTAATTGGGAAATTTATGAAGAAATTTGGAAAGGAAAGAAAAAAAGTAAGTGAAATGTGAATAATATATACTTATATTTCATCTAATTTCAGACATATCTTTTCTCTTTTCTTTTCTAAATCTCTCTCCCAAATCTCCTAACTAAACACAGGCTAAAAGTTTGATCAATTTATTGGTACTAAAAAGTCCAGCTATGTATCCAAAACCACCTTGTTCTCATAAATCCCAAATTACTAAGTATTTAGCAAAGAATAAAAAATAAAAAATCACTCTTTTGTTTTGTCAGGTTTTGTAAGTTGAATATTTTTCAACATATGACAACAAATACAAAAACTGCAGATATATATTCCTAACAAATGTACATGAAATTTATGGTAACAAATTTCAGATAAAAACGAAATGAGTCAGAGGTGCACTTGTAGTGGGAGAAATCTTCAGATCAAAAGTTGGAAGAAAATCATCAGGCAAGTTAAGCTTTTTAAGAAAAATAAATAAACATTAAAATTTAGAAACAAAAAAGAAAAGAAAAGAAAAGAAAAGAAAAGAAAATTAAGGAGAATCAGAGGCATGAAAAAGCAAGTCAAAGCACTCAAGTTGGTCAAATCAAAGTCTGATCATCAAAGGCTTGCCACAAAAACACAACAAACAAAACAACCATGGCATATCAGCGATCACCATCCTTGGGGGGGGATGTATTCAAGACTCTCCAAGAAACAACCCAACTACTTGAAATAAAAAAAAAAAGCATGCAAAACATAAAAACTAGGTCTTTTAGGCATGAAACAGAAAACACACAGAGGCATCATATAACCATTCCACGATCACAAAGAAAACAATAGCAGAGGCCTTCTGTTGAGAATCATGCGTTTAAATTATGGTACTCTCATACATATCGACAATACTACCATATATCAAATACTGTGGGTTAATATATCCGTCAAAAATTCAAAATCTCAATACGTATGGTCCAATATTTAAAACTCTGTTAAAAATTATGAAGAACAATGGGAAACCCTTGTATCTACACCCAAAAAAAGAGCAAGACAACAAAGAATTCAGAAACATCAAGTGATAGAACTGGACCTCAGAGGGTGAGTGCAGTACTCAAAGAGCTTCCCTTTGCTGGAAAAGACGATGAGTCCGATCTGCGCATCGCAGAGGACAGAAAGTTCATGGGTCTTCTTGAGCAGCCCTGTTCGGCGTTTTGAGAAGGTGACTTGTCTGCTAGTGTTGTTTTCGATCCTCTTAACCTCGATCTTTCCTCTACCCATTATATCACCAGTCTTTGATCTTGTCCCTCTTCTAGTAAAGGAAATGTAATACAAATCTCTTTTTAAAAAAAATTCATAGAATTTTTTTGTTCATATCAAGATAAAAACCAATAATTAAACACATATATGGGTTTGAATTTTTGGCAAAAGAAATGTAACATGCATATCTTAATTAGGATTAAGTTGCTAAAACTAAATGGTTGTCATCAGAATTGGAAACCTAGATCTTAGTGAAAACCAAGAGATAAGTTACTGAAATTTGTAAAGAATTCTTAAAACAGGAGATGGAGGAAGAAGAGAAATGGTAGAGAAAAGAAAGACACAGAGAGAGATGAGCATAGAAAAGTTGAGCATTACACAGTTTACCTATTCTCACTTGGCTTTCTTTCTGGATTCAGAGTTGGTATAGTCTGGGTTCTCTTCACCAGTTGATCTACTCCCTATATAGACTACCTTACTTCCCCTAAAGGCTCAACCTTTTGGGCAAGACCACCAATATGGAGAGAGAGGGAGAGAGCTTGTATTGTGTGTATTGCATGGAATGTCTCCAAAAATACACACACAAAAAAAAAAAAAAATCCTTGTAAAATCTTGTCCATGTCTTGTGCAGAACTGGTATCACATATGCCAAGTCAATAATTAAGAACAAAATTGTTATCTACCATGAATTTTTACCATGAAATTTACTCCAAAAATTATGTGTATAGCATAAATTTAAAGTTGGTTTGATTTGGTTTTAAGAATCATTTTTTTTTTAAAAAAAATCAAAAGTACTCATCATTTTCACATGATTTTATTTTTTATAACGTGAAATTAATTTTTGAAATTTTAAAATTATTTTTTTAGTGTTTATTTCGTTAAACTAGTTTCGATATTTTTTTAAAAAAAAAAAATCTAAAAATGAAGCCAAACAGATTGTAATATATTTTTATGAATATGACCCTATTTGGTAGGGTTTAGTTCTAGCTTATTTTAACTTTTAGCTTAATTTAAGCTATTTTGATGTGTTTGGTTCAGCTTAATAATACAACTTATAGCTTTTTGTATGTAAAAAATCAACTTATTCTTTGAGTGGGGAAGGAGAAGCTTAATTTATAAGTCAAAAACTAACTTATGTTCACAGTTATAAGCGATAAGTTATCAGGTTATAAGTTGTAATTCCTTTCCTACAGTTCTACTAAACGGGGCCTATATATAGTAGTATTGATGAGGAAGGTAAAAAGATGGTTGTGATGTAAAGGTCCAGCACTGTCAAAGGTTTTTGGCACCATGAGTTCGTCATGCATAGGAATGAATTTCCATGACTGACTGTGGTGTGGCACTAATGTAAATTGGAGGAAAGAAGTAGTCCTGGATGGTCCTTTTGATAAGAGCATGAACAAATTGTTGCTGTTGACGTTTAACAACCACTGTTTCTGCCAAGCTACCATCCTGCGTTTATTCCAATTTCAGGTTCATTTCAACAGTGCCCATTAATTTAGGGTTTCTTCATTTGGAAAGTAAAGTGGGTGCTGGCCAATTCCATGGGCTGAAAAGGGAACAGACAAAATGTTACAATCCCATCCCACAGAGAGAGAGAGAGAGAGAGAGAATCAATTTCTGATAGGGTTTCCATGGCAAAGTCATTAGTCTTCATAGCATTTTGAGGTAGTGTTGAAAACTTCATCTTGGCCCTTGGCTTCAACGTAAGTAACATTTTGCTCCTCTTTTTTGGTTTTTTTATTTGCATTTATTGAAAAATACCCAAAAAAAATTGCTTTACTTTTTTTATTTGGTTAAATTATAAAAACTCCACACTTATAGGGTCATATATCATTTGATCCAAGGTTTAATCTTTTTTTTGGTGATAAAAACGCAAAAAAATTGTTAGAAAAGTCATTGATACCGGCAAATTGGCATTGAAGTAGATAAATAAGTATAGACAAGTGAAACGTCTACAAATAGATAATAGTTGGACAGATAAATAATATATGAAAGTTATAAATGAACAAATAGACAGATAGATAAACTTTTGGAAGCAGATAGGTGTTCTTTTAAATAGATGATGTCATTTTGACCGAAAAGGCTTAACCTTGGGTCTATTAGCCCAATAGTTTTAAAAGTGGGCCTCTAATCTAAGTATCCTTTTTTATTTTTATGTTTGCGTTTTCATAAGCAAAAGTGGATTGTGTTTTTGAAAAAATTTCGAAAACAATTTTCATGAACAATTTGTCAAAACAGGAAAAAAAAAAAAAAAAACCCAAAACAAAATGACCAAACAGAGTGTTCCTTTGTTTTTGTTTTTTCCTTTTTCTAGTTTTTGATAAATTGCTGCTTTCCATGTCTATGAAACTCCAACTATATGATACAAATATATTTGGAGAAATATAGTAACTTTTAATTAAGTAGAGCATTCTTTATTACTTATGTTTGCGGAAACCCTAAAAACTGAGATGGTTGTGATTTTATACATATTAATTAAGCGAGTGAAGTAGATAGAGCAGTCGTGATCACTTATTAGTCATTAGGTTTACTTTAGTTACACAATATTTATGTGTGAATCATTTTTATGGAATAGAACATTTTACGATGCATTGCATTCACTCTCTTAAAAAATATTGAGGGGTAGGTATCCAATTTAAAATGGTTAATATCGTTTTGAATGGATCATTTTATTCTTAATTTCTATTTATTTTTTTAATAAATATTATAAATTGAACTTTGATATACTATCAAAATTTTATGAAAAAATTGATATAATTAAAATTATAAAAATCAAATTGATATATGAGATAAATTACAAGTATCACTGAATAATTTGCTCACTCTAAACCGTTTTGTCTCTTGAACGAAAAACAAGAAAAAGAGGCTAGGAGACAATCTCTCATATTGGAGGTAATTATAATAATTTTTAAAAAATATTTATTAACTTTTTTTTAATAAGATTAAAGTGATAAAAAAATGATGAATGTGATTTATAGACCGTGATAAATATGAGTAAAATATAAGTTTTAATATAAAAAAGATAGCAATATTATTTTTCACGAAACATAGTAGCTATTGTGCTGTCATTAGGTTTACTTTAGTTACACAATATTTATGTGTGAATCATTTTTATGGAATAGAACATTTTACGATGCATTGCATTCACTCTCTTAAAAAATATTGAGGGGTAGGTATCCAATTTAAAATGGTTAATATCGTTTTGAATGGATCATTTTATTCTTAATTTCTATTTATTTTTTTAATAAATATTATAAATTGAACTTTGATATACTATCAAAATTTTATGAAAAAATTGATATAATTAAAATTATAAAAATCAAATTGATATATGAGATAAATTACAATTATCACTGAATAATTTGCTCACTCTAAACCGTTTTATCTCTTGAACGAAAAACAAGAAAAAGAGGCTAGGAGACAATCTCTCACATTGGAGGTAATTATAATAATTTTTAACAATTATTTATTAACTTTTTTTTAATAAGATTAAAGTGATAAAAAAATGATGAATGTGATTTATAGACCGTGATAAATATGAGTAAAATATAAGTTTTAATATAAAAAAGATAGCAATATTATTTTTCACGAAACATAGTAGCTGTTGTGCTCCAATACAACAGTTATTGTTATGCACCCAATAGGGCTCATTTCAGATTCTACTTCGATAATTTAAATTGTTCACTTTTTAAAATATATCAAATAGAATATATTTGCGTTTGTTTCTTAAAAAATGAATGGTAAATATCCTTTTCATATTTGCATTTATTTCTTAGAATATATTTGCATTACTATCCTTTTCATCAAGTCATATTTGTTTCTTAAAAAATAAATGCTAAATATAATTAGTAATATAAGGCTGAATGCAAATGTTATTTGATGAAATGATTAACGATATTCGATTAACTTGATTTTTTACAGATATAGTCTACTAAATGTATCTTAAAAATTAAACAATTTGAATCATTTAAGTGGACCTAGAATAAGTGTTATCGAGCTCACAATATAGTCCTATTTTTCATTGAGTAATGCTATGTCTCCCTAATTTTTCTTCGAAGAGTGTTTGCAATAAAGCATTATTTTTTTGCATTTATACAAAATATAAATTATTGATAAAAATAGAATTAAATGTAACATATATTAAAACTTTAAGGTAAAATACACCATTACATAATGAGATCTCAATTACAACTAACACATCCTCGTTATTTTTAGCTTAAAGTCTCATAAATTCTTGCATATATATATAGTTACAAGTATGTTTGTATTTGTATGAAGAATGATCATCCACAATTAAACCCCACTGTACCTGTCATTGGTCACTGTCCACCACATGGACCACAAAGTAATTTGCCAATGGATGGAATGGCGTGTCAGGTTTGCTTTACAATAATACATATATATATATATATATATATGTATACACTAGTGCAAAGCACATGTTATTATTGTAGTATGTTTAAATTTTATATTTTGATAATTTTTTAAAATTTAGAATATTATTTTATAAAATTGAATATAATAAGTCATTAGGTATATGATAGAATTATGTATTATGATATGTATTATTTTTTAATTTATTATATACCTAATGATATAGATTCTAATTCTATTACCATACCATTTTTGGTGAATTTATGAGTCTTTAACATTTCTTTCGAATTTATAAAATTAAAAAAAAATTATGGTGTAACTTTTTTCAACAAATAAATACATATACTGTAAATTTAAGGCCTTATTTATGAATACATAAATCATACTCGCATAGCAAAGACCAATAATTTTAGTAATATAAATAAATTATTAAGTAAATTAATAATTTTTAATGATATTAAAAAAAAATTTAGTTAACCATTTTGTTAATAAATAAATCATTAATTCAATTAATAGTTTTTAATGATATAAGAATTTTTTTTTCAATAAATAATTTTGATTATTTATTATTGTAGAGGGAAAAAAAATTTCCTGAGTATTGTGTTAAATTAAAATTCATAACAAATGATAATTATAATTTCTAGTATTATAGGACCGATTCATATTTT